CATATACTGGAAACAGATTTCTTCACAAACATAAAATACTGAAGCCTTCTGTTCTGGTTCTATTTATTCCCTGGACTTAAAAAAAGAAATAAAATATATGCTTCAATTTTTTAGTTGCAAGAGCAGGAAAAAACCTTTGCAAAGGAACACAGCACAGGTCTCCGCAAGGCTGCAGAAAAGCAATAGCAGCTCCCTCTGCTGCTTAGAAAAGAGAAAAATATTAACATGCACTGTTCGAAAGCACAGCGGTATCTACGCACAGTGTTCTAACCTGCACTCAATTGCGTGTACTGCCTGTACACAAAACAAAAATCTACTTCCAAGGATCAGCATTCCTCTAATCATCCTTTATTCCCCCATGTCTAAAAAGCTTTTCATCTATAAACATCCTAGCAGTAACTACAGAGCTTCATACAGGAGTCCCTTCTCACTTCTCCTATGCACAATCTGCCCAGTGCAATCTTTTCCTTAGTTTCAAAAATCAATGCTATCCTTCTATACAAGGCAAAAAACACGGGGGGGGGAGGGGGACGGACAACAAAACCAAACCCAAAAAACTTTATATCTTTGTGGCTCTACATGCTAGTTTGGACCAGGCACCTTGCAGCAAGAAATTCTATCCCAGTCTGCACTATTTGAGAGATAAAAGCTACAGGTGCCAGCACGGCTTTGGATTTGTTTCAGAACTTGAGACACAGGTACTGCTAAGCACCAAGGGGCAGGTCTTCCTGTGATACATCCTGTCCTAGCTCCACCAAGTCAACCCAGCTTATTCTGTCTGCACTCTCCAGGGTCATCAAACAACCAAGAGAAGGCACTGTTGGAACAGCACCATTAGTTACACTCATGTGCTCAGTGACTTACAGTCAAACAGACAGTATGGTACCAGAATCGGAGGATGCTGCAACAAAGTACACCGCTTTTACAAGAAAATTAAGCTGCTTCTTAGCCTTTACCATTGTTATATGTAATATATGTTATATATGGAAGGCATCTATTATATGTAATGACACACACGCGCACACACACACGAAGAAAAACCTCAATAACACCTTCTCTCCCCAAAACAACAAAACCAAAAAACCACTGGCAATATATTTTTTTCCCCTCTTGCTTCTCCCTGGGATTCTCCTTCTTTCACATCACTCTCTTTAAAAACTTAGAAACTAGGAATTTTTCTCCTCCTTTGGTTTTTCTGAACTACAATACTGAAGTACAATGAGTGAAGATAAGTAGATGACTCTAGTAAACACATACGAAGATAACACTAACTGGGAAGTTAGTGCAGGGTTCTCCATGCAGAACATCTGACCCTTTAATGAGGGCTCACCATCACAATCCAAATACTTTGACACAGAAATAATGTTTGGATCCACATGCCTTCATTTGCTAAGCTTCATGACAGAGTAAACAGAAGGGAAATTAATGTTCAAAAAGAAAGGGAAATAAACATTTAAGTAAGAGGGGTCTTGTTGCAAAGGCTCTTGTTGAACGGTGCCTGTTGTCCAGAAGGATTGAGCATCTCCCATAGATGGGCTCCACAGTGTGTGGAGAAATACGAAATAGTTCCTGGAATCCCACCTCAAATAGCACAACAATAAGAAATTACATGAAAATTCAAGATGTCATCTGTCTACAGTGAGAGGCATGCTTTAAGATGAAAGAAGGCTGCCATTTGCACATCTCCCCACAACTGAAAGTCTCAATTAATAACAAAAGATTTAAGTATACAGAAGGCAACAGGCATTAATATTTAAAAACTACATAACTGGGAGTTGTAGAAATAGTTAAGGAAATGGAGACACACAAAAAATGGAATGAGTTAAAGACTGTAAACATTATGATCAAAATTATTTTTAAGAGTTAGAATAATAAAAGTACTTCAGAAATATCAAACAAATCTAGTAATATATAGAAAAAAAAAAATACAAAAGGAAACAGATTAAACCCTGAATAAACACAGCCAGAAACCAAGGTGTCAGTCCAAGAAAAAATAATGCAATGGTTGACATAGGATTAACAGAGTGATGCCAATATTTCCATAAAAATATGCTGGTTATCACCTATGTCATAAGCACCAGTTTTGATACAGATAAATATTGCTGGCATGATATATTTGCTAATACTACACTTCCAAAAGTATGAACACAAGTAGACAAACTATTTAAATCAAAAATAAGCAAGAATGTTAATTTACATGAGCTATTTCCCAGTGATGGTGACTACCAGTAACACATTCTCATCCTTGCAGTGCTACAGAATCCCACATGCACTGAGGTTATGATAAGAGCATTTAAGGGCAGTTGCTGTGAAATATGTGATTCACTGTAAATATATTTTTGCTTATGTTGTGGTTACTTGTTATATGACCATTCCTAAGGGGTTCAAGTAGTACAAAGTCATCACAGAACACTGAAAATGGATGCCACAAATATGATGCAATCAGTGAAGAATCAGCATCAAGTGTACATTTCTGTTAGTCCTGCACATATTTACTTTGCCCTCCTGTGCTATATAATATTTTTATATTACAGGCATAACAACTTTTGTTAGGATGTTGATCAACTGGAACAAAAATTTACAAACCATAAAGGCTCTGATGAGGTACACGGGATATGAGAAAACTCCAGTCACTTTAATACAACCAAGAGTCAGTTCTTATCTCTAGGTACAGAGGACACAGGCCATACTTACAGAATGGAAGGCTCTCAGAAAAAGGCTTGCATCATGTAAGACAAATCATTCAAACATGAAATCCCAATGCAATGCTGCAGTCAGAACCATTAGTGGCATAGTTTTGTTACATGAACAGGTAAATATGTATCTTGAACAAATTTTATTTGCCCTTGGTACAGTTGCTACTGGAGTTTTAATCTCAGTTATGGTATCAATGATTCAAGATGGATGTTTAAAAATCAGAGCAGTCAAGGAAGTATCATAATGAGAATTAAAAAAAAAAAAAAAAAAATAGATAAATATGCCCAGTAGACACAGTGTCCTTATTTACATTTAAGAGACCTTTCAGGAATGAACTTGATTATGTATTCAGGGAAAGAAGTCCTGCTTGCTAAACAGCTCTTCAGTACAATGTGAAAATAATAAATTGCAATGGTCAAAAAATTTAAACACAGATGGTAACTAACAAACTATTAACCCAAACTTGAGTTAGATTCACCTTGCTGGACTGTTTCCTGTTTACAAATGGTGAAATTTCTCTAAAAATATGCTTTAGTTTGTGCAGAAGTCAATACAGGGCAGTACCCTTCAAGATTCCTGGGTGTTGCTGGTGAATGCAACAAAGGCTCTCGTGAATCACCAACCTTCTCATTTCAAGCTGATACTTCAGGTGCACAGTTAAAACTACTTAAACCAGAGCTGCACCACGAATCAAGAGTAACTCCCAAATATGGTTCGCTACCTAGCTCCCAACAGCTCTTGCATGAGCACAGACTGGAGACAAAGAACAGATAAAAATGGCTAGCACTGCACTGAAACAATATCCAAAGGAACTATCAGACCACTTAGAAATTGTGAATCTGTACAAAAAGTCTTTCAGACAACTTCCTTCAGGCTAACCCAGCTTGTTTCAGTTTATGACAAGTACTACTTAAAAAATGAAAGAAAAAAACCTGCATTCATTACTGGAGATGATGAAAAAAGCTTCAGAACTGACCACCGCTGAAAACTATGCTCTGCTCTGTCTGTATATAATTTGAGTATGGTTCTTTACAAAGCAATTCAAAGGTTCCAATATCAAGTCTGTACTGGAGGCAAGTTGTTATAAAATACTCAGTAAGTCATACGAAAACTGGGAAAACCAACGCATTGGAATAAACCCAAGAATTTGAGTTGTAAAAAGCCAAGTGAATGACATGAAATATGACAGTATTTCACTCCAAATTAGAAAGCATGTATTTCATACCTTGAACAGCAGAATTATCAATAGAAGATTATATAATTTACTAAAAACTTAAGTGATAACCTCGACTTTTCAAAAATCGAAGATGCTAGTTGAGATATTTTAAACACCCAAATGAATTACATATTAATCGCTATTACCAAAACCATAGTTCTGCAGCTTCCAGAAGCATTCATCCTATTTACCAGTTCTAGGGCATCTTCAAGACTGATTCTCCATCTCTGTACATTTATGTTCACACTTGAACACATAGGGAACCCTGTTAACTTATGGGGTTTTTTGTGGGTTTGTTTTTCATCAGGTGTTTTGGTTGGGGTTTTTTTTTTTCAAGTGCATTGTAAAAATTTGAGGGGGTTTTTCCATTTTGTTTTCTGAAAGGTGAGAAAAGGCTAAGTGTTCCACTACCAATTAATGATTAAGAAAAAGAAACTGGTACATAGGCTTAGGAATAACATTCTTCCACAAAAGCACTTTCCTGCCCTTTTTTTTATTACTCAGTATCACCATTTTCATTCTTTCATTTTTTGCTGCTGCTAAGAGTTAACACAATTCCTCCTTTCTGAAAGATTTTGAACATATGGTGAACTACTAATGTACACTGGAGCAAATACTCCATAACCATTTATTCGTTTTTTTAAATCTGTATTTTGTCAATGAACTCATCATTACCACATCTAAATGAACTAGATATTCTCAAAGACCACCACATATGCACAGTTGCTTACCTTCCTTCTTGCCTGCTTTGAGAAAGAAAATATCATATATAATGTTGGGTCTTAAGTGTATGAGTTGGCATGAAAAATTATTCGTAAAGAAGCACCTTGATCTTTAGAATATACTCATCAGAGTCCTATTCCTTAAAATACATGGGAGTATTTGCTCATGTCAAATACACGCATGTAATTTTTTTATTAACAGTTAAACCAGAATAATTTTTGTAGACTACATAAATTCATCATAATGAGCTCTAAGTAGTAAAATCTTTGCTCCACTGTAAAACTTTAACTTAAAATATGCAAATTACTAACCAAAATCCTGAATTAATGAGGATTAAGAACACAAAAATAAAGTAGTTTCTCACCTTCGTCTTTACGTAGAATGGCGATGACTGGTGAATGGGCAAGTCCATGAGGCTATTGGAATTTGTGACACTGTTACTGTTAGTATGTTCATCTTCTCTACTGCTGTCATCAGATTGATCAAAATCATCACTCTCCTGGTCCATTTCCTCCTCCTCTTCCACCTCCTCCTCTTGATCACCAGTATGTTCATCATCATCTTCTTCTTGGTTACAAGTGGATTCTTCATCCACTGTATTAAGTCTATTGTTATTTTCTTCTAACTGTTCCTGCTGAGACTCATGCCTGTCATCAAATCCAGGTTCTTCTCCTCCTATCTCCCCATTCCTCCCAATGTGCTGCTCTTCCTGTTGACGTCTTTGCTGCTGCTGCTCCTCCTCTTCTACAACCCGATTCATCTGCTCCTCATCTACTTGGCTTGAGGAAGCATTACCTCGAAGAGATCCACCAGTTCGTCGTCTCTTGCTGCCCACAGAGAGCAGTTCCTGATTCATTTCCAAAAGCCAGCTTGCCACTTCTTGGACCTTGGCTAGGCTATCTGAAGATGCAAATGCTTTCACATTCTAAGGAGACAAAGAAAGAAAAAGTCGAAAATTACAAAAGCTGTACTTTCTTAATTAGATAAAGCATTGAAAACTTATTCCACTGCATTACTCCTGACCACTTCGAATTCCAAGAAACAAGGAATAATTTGTACTTGACACACAACTAGAGAAACCCAGCCTGCAGACAACCTTCTAGCAAGAGATTATTTTTCCTATCCAAGAGGCTGATCATGATCTCTGTAAGCACCACATTCTGCAAAATTCAGAAGCACTGCTTGCCCTCCTAGACAATCCACAGGAGATATTAACATTCACGGTAGCAAAAGACCAAGTAGGTTACTTGCTAATAATTGGACAAAGATAATTTTGAAACAGCATTATATTTTCCTTCTTACTTGATTACAGACAATATATGTATATCACAAATGATGAACTGCTTTTGCTCTTATGCCTTATGAGCAGGCATATTTTCAGGTACACTGAAACAACCATTAAAGCATACAGCCGTATCACACTCCCAAGTCTTAAATTGGCTACAGAGATGCCCAGTGGTCTAAAGCACACATCACTAGACAGCCTGTGCAGCTCAGAAATAGCTCATACCTCGTTGGGCAAGAATCACTGTTAGCAATGAAGTTCTCAAAGAAGTGACAAGAATTGTTAAATGAGACTCAGAGAAGTTAAAAAACCCGCCAAATTTAAGTGCATATTAATATAAAATGAAAAATTAACACAATGTCCAAATTATCCACACATTCGGCTACACATGTGCATGCAAACAATACACAAGAACAGCAGGATGTAACCCATTCTAACTGGATCTTAAATTTGGTATTAGGTTTCCAGCTATATAACCTCTGAAGCTGGCACAGTCTGACTCCAGTGCCCCAGATTCAAGTATTAAGTTGAGTAGATAAAGTCAGACACGAACAACATGTAGTCAGATTCATATTCACATGCACATGAAAATGTGTACAAAGAGAAAATAACTAGGCTTTTTAATGTATATAGAACCACTCTCCTTAGGTGTCCATAGACCACACCACACACTCAGCAGGGATTCAGAAAGCACAACAATACAACACTGGAAAAGAGCATGACTACTGAGTCTCCTTGGAGCAGGAACAGTTAAAAAAACATGTTTCCATGAGTATTTCAGTACAGGAGGATATTCTCCTAACCTCTCCCCTGCCTTCCTTTCCCAGTCCCCCTTCTTTATTTATAAAGTCCTTTATCTCTTACTGGTAAAAATAAAAAAAATAAAACCTCACAAAAAAAAAAAAAAAAAAAAAAAGAAAAAAAAAAAAGCATAGAACCTTGAATGATGGAGGTGTGGAACAGAAAAACGCCAACGTTGCTCCACGACATTTGTGAACACATTCAACTTACAGGTGAAGTGGGAAGAAAGTACCAGAAACAGTAACTCTAAGGTAGTTTTCATTGTACGGTACCTTGAAAGCCACAGAAACACATTTACAGATGTTTTTCAAGTGCTGCATTGAGAACGATTCATGGATGGGATTCTACACAGTTGTCCCCTCTTCCTCAAGGAAACATTACTTAAATCCCAAAGACATGGTTTTCAAGTTTTCACATATGTACACCCAGATGACAACTGCCCCAAAATAAAACCTTACATGCTCAAAAGCTAAAATTTGTGTTCCAAAGAATGTGTCCACCAGCAATTAGCTCCAATCAATGAAGACGAAACTAATACTAAAAAGACAATTAAGCTCCACACATCAAGGCAAGGACATGACAGAAGCCAGCAGAGGCTGTGCTGACTCCTGCTTTTTATGAGTGGAAAAACCACATTAGGACACTGGGGTGCACATGACCCAAACCAGAAGCTAATGACTTCAACCTTGAGAGCAAGGGGCATTGAAAGCAAATGTGTTTGATTTTCTATATATGGTAAGTAGCACTTGAGAAAGAGTGAACTCTTCATGACATTGAAGAGAAATGTTTTTCACTTAACATTTTTTCCCCAAGCCTGGAAACCTTAGCATATTGATGTTGAATAATTCCATTTCATCAAACGTCAAATTTGGTTGTGTATGTAATCTGACATTACTGGAACCTATTTATCAGGCTTGCTACATAGCTTGGACATTATGAGCATGACAACACTACATCTTGCTATCTCATTAAGAGAACTGGATTTTTTTAAAGCATTAAATCATGTAAAAAAAAATCAGTAATAATAATAATAAAAAAAAGACCAAGAGATTTACATCTTCACAATCTAGGGAATTTAGCTTCTACCATGAATGATTCTGCAAACATACGTGAATAAAGCTTAAAAGTATTAAGCTATTTTTTTTCAGTATCAACAGCATTGTTTAAATATATGCATCAGATATCAGCTTAGGATAATAAAAGCTACTTGATAAAACTTCAAATCCTGCATTTATTGTATTAATTTAAGATATTTCAATTTGTATCTGTAAGCAACTGACATGACAGGTCAGCACTGAAATACAGAAGTAATAAAATGCATCATTCTGCTAAATGCGTAAGTGACAAAAATAACACTATTGTTGCTGTTAATATACCCAAATCTAGTTCCAACCAGTTAAGAAAACGAACACACACTAGTACTACTATTATATCTTTTTAATTATTCCTGCATTTTTGTAGTGACCATCAATTCACAAAATTAGCTTCAGTCATAAATGATTTGAGTTTTACCCTGTATTTGCAGAAACAAGCTCAACTTGACCTTTCCAGAACCATGTAAAATACATTATCAAAATTTAATTACACCAGGAATCATCAATATGCAAAGAGGTGATGCATTCACTAAAGAACAGATGGATGTACATTATCTGAGAGATTTGAAACATTAAAGCTGCCTTCTGTCATCTAAGTGCTTTCAGAATTAACTACTGTAAGCTAATTCACAAGATGCAATCATTTTCATATAAGGTAGGATTATTATTTTGCAGGAAGAAGTTATTTACAAATCAGCTACCCGAGAACTAAATTGCTGTTTTCAGTTAGTACCCTGCCTCCTTTTTTTATTCTCTCAGAGCCCAAAATGACTCAAAACAGCTAAACCCCAGCAGAATCATAGAGGAAAGCTGTTGCTTTCCTACCCACCTTAGACTGCAAAGAGATTTCTTTTAGTTGGACACCAAAACATCGCAGTGCAGTGGCAAGGCTTTACATAAACATGTGAAACTCATTAAACTTGGGCAACAACTCCCAGGCAAGTTTCTTAACACTTGCAGCAGGTCGTGTGGAAAAGCGAAATACATGGAATCCCCAAGGAAAATGCAAGTCCCTGGACTGATCCAACTGTAAAATCAGAGTTGATGAATGCATCCCCCACACATAGTGAAGATTAAATGCTGCTTAAGCAGAATTCTTTATCCATTAAATTTGCACACAAGACACTTTACAAAAATATTAGAAAAGCAGTTGCTCAACACCACTTATAAGAAATACCAAGCAACACTGGGAAACTATAGAGAAGATGCCTCAGGTTAATCTACAACAGGTTACATCCTGTACTGAGAGACGAGGATGACCACTTCACTTCTTGCTTTATTACTGAAATACCTCTGATCCTCTAGTAGATATAAAAGTTGTGAAACATTTTTAACCTACGAAAACATACAACTAAGTAAAAATTGGGAAACCGCTGGTTTGTATAATTCCTTTTTTATAACTTGAAACTAAAGAAAAAGCAAATCAGGTGGGAAATGAGGTGGGGATGAGGGTAAAGGATGAGGGCTTTTGTTGTTTTAACAAAGTATACCAGACCTTGAAAAGCTTTTAAAGAATTCACTTTGAAATCGGAAAGTTAGACTGACTTGAAAACTAACCAAAGTCTATATAAATAACCCAGTAAAAAGCTGAGATACATTAAACTGAGTAATACTGAACTGAATTAAATAAGAAACAAAAAAGAAACACCCCATCCAAGCTAAGGATCTCCTATGATTTCATTTCAACATCCCAACCTACCTTCTGAAGCAAAAATAAAATCCTTCGAAGCACACTGTGCCCAAGATTGATACTAGCATGCTGGCAAATTAAAAGTTAGGTCTTCTTTAAGCAAGCAGTGCAGTAGGAGCAGACATGTAAAGCTTAGACGCAGCACCCACACAACAGGGCTCTAGAAAGAGGAAAGGGCTGTTATTTCCAGCTCTGACCCCTGGGACCTAAACTGACTCTCACAGCTGAAGCACATTATCTGGTTTAGTTTCACCCAGAAGGTGCTTGGAACAGCTGTGCTTTAACTCTTTCTATTGTGGAGCAGGTGTGGACAATCAGCAGTTACACTTCAAAGTGTGCTCTGGACCCAAATCCAACCTAACACACACAGTGCCAATGCACCTAATGATGGGCATGCACCTGCACTGCCAGCCACCTAAGACTCCTAAGCCCATTTGAAAAATATGCATATAAAGATAATTAAATCCAGCATCAAGCAGGTAGAAATAAACAACATAATTAATACTGATAAGATTGTGGACCATGTTCAAAGAAAACCGGAAGTGTATAAGTAAGTGTATGGCCGTGATAGCTAACAGTGCAAAACACTACAAGCAAGCAACCTATATGCTGTATATTGATCTGATTAGTGGCTACACTGTTTGCATATGGGAAATATTTTGAACAACAGCAAAGTAACAAACCAGAACAATCAACATGCAATAACTGGAAACTGAAACTGTACAAAGACAGATGAGGAATCCACCACCTTCTTTTACAGGTTATGGTAGTGGACAAGTCCTCATGCAAGGACTTAATGAAAACAAGATACTTCAGGTAAAACCCCAAGTTGAACTAAAGTTATGAGCTTTAAACAGAAGTTAGAGGAGAAGAACTTTGCTGTGTTGCACAGGATGGGAATCTTGGTCATAGTAATGGGCTCAATTCATAAAATTCTGAGTTGAATACATTGTATGAGAGGAAAATAAAAATGCTTCCCATATTTC